ACGATCTATACAACCATAGATACGTCAGTAAAGAATCAAATCACGATCATAAAATTCTAGATAATTTACTTAAATCATTCCAAGTTAGATTGTCTACCAACTTCAACAATAGGAAAATGTTTGATAATCATAATGAAATTAAAATATATAAATGCTTTAGAACTAAGCAACCATATAGTAAATTTAGTAATATTTAGAAAAAAAGAAGTAAAAATAAACATTAACACTACAGAGTAACATTATATGGTTTAATCCTTCTTTTAATCATAATGTTCAGACGAATATCAGAAGAATGTTCCTAAATTTAATTCATAAGTACTTTAATCATTCACCAACACTACAAAGAATTTTTAACAAAAATTATGTAAAGATCAGCTACGCGTTAGTAACTTCGATAAATTTATATCCCAACATAACATATATATTGACATTATATTAAATAAATATATTTCCCACAAAGACAACGTTAATTTTAAAAAAAAAATAGATGCAACTGCCGAAAAAATATGACCTGTCCCTTAAACGTTCAATGTATGAATGATAATATTGTATACCGAGCTAGCATGCACTCCGGTAACGATGCTCAGTTTTATTTTAGTTCCACTGAAGATACTTCAAAATTACCTTTCTATCATCATCGAATGACTTTAGGTAATTTAAAATACAAAAAGAGCACTCCTCTCAAAATATTTCAGGTAATTAAATAATAGTGCTAATATACCTAGGATATTATAGCAAGAGCCAAATCTTACAATGGGAAAGGTAATAGTCGTAATTTATGTCTTGCTGAAAAATTAGTTATCTTAAAACGCTTAAATAAACCTATCTTATTAAACAAAAGAAATGAATTGATGGTTACATGTATGCATACAAATAAATATCTGCATAAATACGTTTATCCAGATTAATTTTTTTAATGTAAATTATGGTTGTTTTTGTTTATTTTTAAAGAAAACGTAAAACTTCTACCTTAACGCTTAATATAAAAAATTAATATTCAGAACCCTGAAATCATTATTGAAATATATATATATATATATATATATATATATATATATATATATATATATATACTGTTTATTTTAAATACCAAATGTATTTTTAAAATTAAAAATAACTGTAATCTCAGTATAATATATAACTGCGCCAACATTGGGATATGCATATATTTTTATTAAAATTTAAATTACGTAACCTCTAGTCTATACTCAGCGCCTGAAGATTGCTTTGTGCATATATATATATATATATATATATTAAAACTGATATATATATATATATATATATATATATATATATATATATATATATATATATATATATATTTGTTTGGATTGATGAGTTTGTGACCCTGGGTTTCACGCTTTTGCGATCGTCAGACAAACTGATTAATTTTTTAAAAATTTGGGTTTATGAAGATTGCGTGTATTGGTGTTATTATGGGAGTGGGGGGGGAATCGTCGTCGTGATGTCATCGTGCTAACGCAAACATAGATGCATGTCCGTACACCCGATGAGGTACGCAGACACACATACACACTGGCTCGTCCGCCGGGACTCGTACAGTTATAAACATATGTGGACAGTTTGGGATTTGACATATGTATGTATATGGGTGATGTTGTGTCTATACATACGCATTTGTATGTTGAAATTCAAAGATTGGAAGTGTAGCGAAATATGTTAACTCTATCTCTGATATTGAGCGCTTTCTAATAAGTACTGCGTATATAATATATAAATAATTATATATATATATATATATATATATATATATATATATATTTTTTCACACACACACACACACACACACATATTTATATATATATATATATATATATATATATATTGAGAGAGGGATAATATGTGTGTGTTTGTGAGTGGAGTGTGCGTGCCTACGTGCGTGCGAGAGTGTAGTATTTTTCAAGAAATTTCCCACGCAAAGTGATTTTATTCACTCTAAATGACCAGGAACTTCCGTTCCATCGATTTGGTTTCTTTCGTACTTTCCCGGCTTATTATCGAAGGTCATCCTTCACTTGTCAAACGCTTTATCGATTTATCATTTGTAGTATTACAAACATTTTTTTTTCTTTTTCCTTTGACGTAATTCATCCTTGGAGCTTGCGCTGCCGTCATTAATCATTCGGTTTCTCATTTTATTTTGTTTTGCTTTTTGTTTTCGTTTTTTTTTTTTGTTTTTGTTTTTTTCCCTTAACTTTAACATTTTCTCTGTTAGGCCCTTCTAAATCCCCTGCACTTTTGTTTTCTTTCCGTTTATAACTTCATTTCATATTAGCATTTTAATATGCAAATCTAGATTTAGTTTTTTTATTTTTTATTTTTTTGTGTTTTCCTTTAGTTCTCCTTTTGTTTCAAACAACCGTGATCATTCTCCCATTGCTTTTTTTATTTTTAAATCATATGTAACACATTAATTTGAAATTCTCTCTTTACATAATTACTCAAGTAAGAAATATTGAATTCTGGCCAATTTGATTGGTTCATTTCGTGTGGTTGATCCTACAATCGTTTTCAACCTTTTACTCAGTTTTTTTCTGCCAGATTTTTATCAATCAATTCGTTTCGTCGTTATTTTTCTTTATCAGATTACGTTTCGATCCCATTTCTATTTTTATATTTAACCATCCTTTTCTCCATCATATCAATCTTCCTTTTCATTGCAGCAATTCTATTTGAACTATATTGTTTATTCTTTCTACGTTTCTCTTAATACTAATTGTACTATTCGTTCTTTCCATATTTATTCTAAGTCAGTGATTCCTAAATGAGAAGCACTTGGCATTCGAAGAAGGTATTTCATATCTAAATCTAGTAAAATGGGCCAGAATAGACACTGGGGAAGAATTTGTCACATATATAAGTTAAATAGTGAAATGATAAGCAGATGCTAATACAGAGTGTTATGGGTAAATTGTCGGCATATTATATTTTTACTTTCGCGCAAGCACGTTGTTTTTGATTTTTTCAACTGCACATTATAATAGGGTCATTTGAGCACCGTCTGTGAGAAAAAAAAAAACGCACTGACATAATTCTCTCCGCCAGAAAATTGGAAACGGCTTGCTGTACTGCTTGGCATTCGCGCCGGAAGCTCTAATACGAACATTTCAGAGTGTTTGGGTGTCAATGCGAGGACAATGAAAGAAGATTCGGAAAGAGTTGGATGAGGTTAATGGTAACTACGAAGGTGTTTGGAGTGATCACTAGTTATGGCGATCTTATGCCACTATTCATCTTCCCACAGAGGCCTCAAACATAACAGGGCACTGCACCATACCACACAAGCAGGAGAACCCAGTCATGACTGTGAAACATATCCTGCGACCATATCACCCCTTAAATCTGGCCAGCAAACTCCACAGACTGCACCTCCCTTGATTAGGCGCTGTTGAGCGTGAGACCAGCAAAGCCCCTTGCGAACCCAAAGATGAACTAAAGGATTATGACAGCATTCACCAACTTTAACAAGGAGAACGTTCAGAAGAGATGCGAGAGATTCCGAAGTCTTCTGGGGGCTGTCGTTGAAGCAAATGGCGATTTTATTGAATAATTTTACTCTTTATTATTTCAAGATATTTTTGTATAGTTTTGGTAAAATGACATGCCAGTGTTATTTTCATTTTTGCATAATTTAGACGACAATTTTTCCATCGCACCCTTTAATAATGGTGATGATAAAATTGACCGTTTATATACAGGAAACATTCGGTATTCATTGACCGACCAGATAACGTTACTATTGGTTAAAAACTTTTTATTAATTTTGTTATTAATTTTTCAATTTTGGGAGGTCACCAAGTAAAAAAAAAGGAAGTGAACTCAACCAAAAAGGGTGTGGATGCTAGACTAAACCATACTCTGAACAGTGTCTACGGACAAATTTTTGAACTGATCCAATCTTATCGGATCGTGAAATGAATATTATCCTGAACGGCCAATCTTCTCGATCATTTTATACTAATGTAGGTTTTCCTTAGTGTTTTATCTTTGGTCACACTTCATTTTTAATTTTCATTAATGACCTTCTCGATCGCATCAGCTCGTAACTCGGATTCTATGCTGATGACACAACCGTTTACTCCTGTTTCAATTAGTCGGTTTAACTCTATAAAGTCAACTTGGCGGTTGATCTCAAAAACGAGTTTCAGTCCGTTGTTAACTGGGGCAAACAATGGCTTGTTAATTTTAACGCCTCCAAAACTAAACTGCCCCCTATTAATCATCTGAGATACACCTTTTTATCGTCCATCAGCATGGCTGATGCTTACCCACAGGAGAGTGTTTCGTGCGCCTTCGTGGTCTTTTTTTTTATCACATTCATATTTTACCATTTTCTTGTGTTTTTCTCTTTTTCACTTTTTCCTTTTTCTTCAATTTCTTTCATTTTAATTCTTTGTTTTTCAGATTTTTCCTTTTTCTCTTGTTTTCTTTTATCTTTAGTCTTTCTTTTTTTTTTTTTTTTTTGATTTTGTGTTCTTTTCTTTCTTTCTTCACTACTTTCACCTGCTTTCTATCTTTTTTCTATTTGTTTTTTTTTTCATATTTTATGTTTTCTTAAACTTTTCTTTTCTTTCTACATTTTTTTATCCTTTCCTTTCTTATTTTCCCGAATCTTCTTTTTTTTGTCGAGCTTAGAGTTCATTTGGTCGTTTCTAATATCTATGTTTCTTTCTTTCTTTTTTCAATATGACTCTAGAACAGTTATCATGGCGTCTATGTTATGACTTCCGGCGATTCGGTCTAATCGCCTCGGTTTCATTTTCTCTAATACGCCTTGAGCAGAAAAATGGCCGGCCTCGTTTTCACTTCGTAATTAAGTCATCAGACAGAATCTTGGTGATGTGCACCCTCCAGCTACGAATAATGGTTGCAATTACATTATACTACAAACAAATAACTCTTTCTCTTCATTGTATTCCTTTACTTTGGCTTTTTTTTTCAGTTTTCGCTTATCTTTTAGCTATTCAGATCATATCATGGCGGCCGTTGATATTTTCGTATTCGTATTTACACATTTCTGCTTCATTATCTTTTGTATATTCTCTGTTATCATTATTATTGTCTCTGTTCGCTTTCTTACTTTTGTTATTGATTTAAGTTACTATCCAGCCACCGTTCGACGGAGACTGTTACTCTCATTAGTGTTATTCTGTTTCACATTATCTTCTCTCTATCCTCGTGGTCACGTAAGGTGACTCAGCGATTGCAATGAAGGAAAAACATAGTTGGTAAAACTCGTTACTTGCCGTCAAAAATATAGAGCACTCCTAACGTGTACCAAATATAAATGTTGGAACGATTAATTCGTTTCCTTTAATTCTTTCATTCCCACCTATCATATTTCTTCTTCTTCTTCTTCTTCTTCTTCTTCTTCTTCTTCTTCTTCTTCTTCTATGTGCCGTGTCCTTTCAGAACGTGGGTAATCATGTCTCTCCACAATTTCCCGTCCTTTGTAGCTCTTAGTAAACTTTGTCTTTTGGCTATCTCTCCTAATACCTGTCCTGTGAAACATCCGCACTCGTTAGGTAAGTGCTCTTTTTCTTTTGTCCCTTGGCCTGTCCTGCGAGTGTCAATTTTTCTAAACCTCTTTCCTCGTTACGTAGCCTCTAAATGTCAATTGTCTTTTTCGATGTATATATATATATATATATATATATATATATATATATATATATATATATATATATATGTATGTATCTTTTTTGTTTTAATTTTCTCTAAAACTGTAAATTATTAATATCACCCGTTTTCAATCCGCCCAAACGACTCTTTAATTGATTCTGGTTGTAATTTTTTTTTTACTGTCGAGTCACATCTGTTCAGATGATTATCTATCTATCTATCTATCTATCTATCTGATTTTGTTTAAATCTATTTATGTTCCTTTCACTTTAACAGCATGTCTGCGAAAAGCATGGACCGACTCTTCTCTCTCCATACCTAGCTAACGTTCACATATCATGGTAGATTGGGCTCTCTAGCCTTGAGTGGCAGCCAGTCTAGGATAATTCTTCTCTCCACAATTCCCTGTCCTTTATAGCAATTAAAAAATGTTGTATTGGTTATCTCTCCTGAACCGGGTTTCGCCATTTACTTGCTCAAGCTCGCTAATTATGTTACGCATCATTTGCTTCTGTCCCTCTTGCTTTTCAATCTGCCCTGTGAGCATCAAATTTTCCAAGTCATCTTTCCTCATTATGTGCCTTCGAAATTTCAACTGACCTTTCCTGATGTTCGATATAAGTGTCCTTTTTGTTTTCATTTTCTCTAGAATTCCGTGTTCAGATCATGGTATTCTCAACATCCTTCCGTAGAACAATATTTATGTTGCGTCAAGTCTCTTCTTCATCTATGAGTAGATTGACCAGCATTGACTACCATATAAGAGGACTGAGATGATATAACAGTTCAGCATCCTTTTTTTTTTTTTTAAATGATTTTTTTTATTTCTGAATACGTTGCTTTTTTTTTTTTTTTTGGTAGTCATCTTGCGCCATTTCAACGCGCCTTCGGATTTCCGTGTCGCACTTGGCGTCCTCTTCCTCTTAAAATACTTCCCGGATATTTAAATTGTTATATCTCGGTATCTACAACTTGTTAGTTACATGTTGGGCTCTTCCTTTTGCTAACAACTACGCATTCTGTCCTCTTGCCATTGATGTTTACTCCTTTCTTCTCACTTTCTTTTATTACATTCTGCAAGAGGACTTGTAGTTTCATTTTTGCGTTTTCTATCAACCCTATGTCATCTGCATATCTTATGTCGTTAAGATTGTGGCCGCCAATAAATAATCCTTGGAGGACTTACATCACTTTCTATTTTTGTATATTTTCTGAACTAATTTTCCATCCGTATGTAGGAGGTTGGCTGTGAGTAGAGGTTCTAGATAGTAATCATCTCTTCGTTTATAAGAAATTATTGCATCGGTGCATAATTATCAGTCGTTTTTCTAGGAGAGTTACTTGTTTTGTTTTGTTTTTTGTTTTTTTTTTAAGCATTTCACCCCAAGCAAGGCGGGGAGCCACTAGGACGCAAGGGGTTACAGAAAATAGGAAGATCAGATAGGAGTGATAGAAGAAAGGATGAGGGTAGTAGATAGATTAAGGCAACTGGAGATGTCGATTGACATTACACTTGAATAGCTGGAGATTATAACTCTCAGGGAAACTGTTTTGTTTATATTTTTTAAGAAAAATATTTTTTTTCATTTTCAGGTTATAAAGATGCGTGTCGATAATCATATTTAAAGATGTTATTGTTGCATTTTTATGTTTCTTTTTTTTTATTATAAATATTGTTTAAAAAACGCCTGATAATTATGCACCAACCCAATCGAATTAGAAAACGCTAGAAAAAATATTAAAAATATCTTTACATTATTTAGTTTCCTTTGCTTTTCTTAACGCCGAAAGATTTTCAAATATTTTAGAATGTTCGCATAACTTTTTTTTATCAGTGATATTTTTTCGGTATTTAAATGCAGGTTTCGAAATATACATTTTCCTTGATAATGTACGTGAAGGAACGAAACGTGTCAGCCAAAAAAACGTTTATCTTTTGTTCACCTAATTTATTTCCTCGTAAGTAATACTTTGTTTACTATTGGGAAGATTTTTATTTTATTTTTTTCTATTCACATGGGACCCGACTGTAGGCACTTTGACGTGATGCAATGATTAACAAGCTTGTCTCGCTAGATCAATTACGACTGAGTAGTTAGTTCGATTTAAATTTTTGAAGATCAAAATTGCCCAGGAAACAAGTCGCCGTGCGATAGAAGGAACTATTATTATAGAAATTACTTTTAATTCTATCCATTCCAACTGTAAAATGACGAGACCTTACCGCCAATCTAGTATTGCGTTTAAACTCATAAAGTCTAGGTACCATAGCCAGAAGCTCATCAGAAATATTACCATGAAAATATTTATAGCAAAGACACAAAGAATCTAGGTTACGGCGATGAAAAATTGACTGAAGCCGAGATGTCAGGTCAAGACCAATAATATTCTAGATTCTATTTTGGATGTTATCAAGAATCTCTAAATATATAGCAGGAGCACCGGCTCATATGTGACGACAATATTCAAAGCGAGGACAAATGGTAGATTTATAAATATGAAAGATAGATTCTGTTGACAAAAATTGTCTAGTGCGACACAATGTATCAACTTTCACAGGAGAATACATAGCAATTGATTCAATATAATCATTCCACTTCATGTCAACAGAAATCGTTAGCCCGAAAAGGCGCAAAGACGCACTCTCCTGGGGGTTACCATCACCCATGCTGATGGAATGCAGAAATGGTTATCTCAGACGATTAAAAGTGAGCGTGCTTAAAACTGAGGAGCCATTTCTTGCCCCATTTAAAAACAGATTGTAGGTCACAGGGTTTAATTGAAATATGATTTTATGTAATGTTCATGTACCTTGGGTAATTATTGTCCTGCTAATTATCGTTGGTCCTGTTCTTGCATATTTTCGCTACTTTGTAATCCGATTCAGATGATTAAGCTCTTCGCTTACGATGTTTCTTCAGTAATGCCAAAAAAAAAAAGAAAAAAAAAGATAAGACTAAAGCAGGACATTCCATCCCCCCTCCCACCGTTAGAAATTATCTCAGCGTGATCAGAAATTGAACAAAAGACAATACGTTCAACCCCTCCGTCACGATGACTTGCGACTTTGTGCCAGCACAACTATCAGCGGTGATGGAACAATTTCGACTACGCAGTTTCACTTACAAAACTGAAAACTCTTTCGCTTTGAGTCTTGGAAATTATCATAAGCGTAGTTAAATATATATATATATATATATATATATATATATATATATATATATATATATATATAGCATAATGAGAAGCCACGTATACTTTCTTAATATGTATATATAGAAAAGTTTCAAATTAAAAAATTAAAATGTTTTTTATTTTATGAAAGTATTTATTTATTTATATATATATTTGATATTTCAAATTGTCCTCAATTTTCATCAGAAATAACTGTTTGTTACAAATAAATTAAAAATACTGTTTGTTAGCAAGTAGCGTCCTTCGCGAGACGCGGACGTCACGTGATATGGAACGTCACTGTTCGGATATTCCTAACTTAACCTCACCTGCGATACCCATAACGTAATCTATTATTTATTCTGCAACTTATGTCCTAATAGTGGATATATTGGTGAGTCTGGAAACAATTTTAGATTTCGTTTTAATAACCATAAACAAACAATACGTCAAAACAACCCTTATTCCCCCATAGCTAAACACTACAATCAATCAGGACACACATTAGAAAACTGCAAATGTTTATTAATAGATTCCGATTTTACTTCACATTCACACGCAGAAAAAGAAGCATATTGGATTTTAAAATTAAATACACATAAACTAGGGTTGAATAGGGACTTAGGTGTTTTAAATCTTTATAAATATTTCAATAGTTAAGCAATTTTTTTTTTTAGATATAGTAAAAAAAAAAAAAAAATTTTTTTAAATATTTATGACAGATTTAAGTTAGGAATATCCGAACAGTGACGTTCCATATCACGTGACGTCCGCGTCTCGCGAAGGACGCTACTTGCTAACAAACAGTAATTTTAATTTATTTGTAACAAACAGTTATTTCTGATGAAAAATTGAGGACAATTTGAAATATCAAATATATATATATATAAATAAATAAATACTTTCATAAAATAAAACATTTTAATTTTTAATTTGAAACTTTTTTTATATATATATATATATATATATATATATATATATATTTAAATCGATATCATTTAGATTTTTTTCCCTTTTCATAACTTTTATTAGTAGATATCCCACACTGTTGCCCACCGTAACGAAACTGACCACAATCGTGACATAAAAAAAGAAGAAAACAATTCACTACGACGGAAATGTTTAGAGGTCGCCATGATTGCAAGGTCATTCACAGGAAATTTGCTCCCCCCTGGCTTTTATAACATTTCACCATTCCTGGCAGAACTTCTATTATCACAGTGTTGGGTATCTAATAATGAAGTCTAAAAGTGAATAAATTCCTATTTTATGCATAAGAGATTTAATTTTCGTGTTTTTGTTCGCTATTACTAATTATAAATTTACAAATGTTACCATGGTAAAATTTAACACTTAAAATTGATATTTGATTATTTAGTAACTGAAATTAAAACCCACAATCCTCCACGGGACACTGTTATATCCTTTGGTCCGTGCCTGCACAATCTCTCATTCAAACATCTCTATCAACCGACCCCAGAAAAGGAAGGTTTTTTTTGTTTGTTTTTTTTCTTTTTGCTTCTTCTTATCGCAGTCAGAACTCATTTGAAATCAACTTTAGACCTCCTCTGGACAGGAGAGTGTCATCGTAACTTAGGTTTATATCACGTGAAATATTGTATATCTTTCTTTATAATTCCTAATTAAAAACCTTGTTAAATCTAGTTAAGTTAGTAGATACTACAGATCTTTTGCAGGCACCTATTCCGAAAAAAAAAGTCTTTTCAGTGTATCTGTTTGAGACTTACGATCACCCATAGAAAACAGCTGCTTGAACAATGGCGTTAAAAAAGCTGATCTTAATTAATTTTCGCGCTCTATTGTTTGAATTTCCACATATTATGGCATCGACTAAAGGCATTCTCTGTTTCAGGATTTCTCTGTCTCTCTTTCTCCGTCTCTATCCTTATCACTTTTTGTGTCTCTAATCGATGTCTCCCTCTATTTCTCTCTGTGCCTTTATCTCTGTCCCTTTCTCCGTCTCTATCTGTCTATGTGTCTCTTTGTATCACTTCGTCTATGTTTCTGTCTGTATCAGTCTCTGTGTGTGTCTTTCTCTCTTTCTCTCTCTCTCTCTCTCTCTCTCTCTCTCTGCATTTATTTCTATTTCTACCACGATCTCTATCTTTCTCCGTCTCTGCCTTTCTTTATATTCCTCACTGTCTCTCTTTCTCTATCCGTATCTCTCTGTGTGACTATTCACTGTCTCTCACAGTCTCTGTCTCTATCTATCTATCTATCTATCTATCTATCTATCTATCTATCTATCTATGTCTCTCTCCATCTCTGCATTTCGTGTCGCTCTCTCTCTCTCTCTCTCTTTGTCTCTGTCTCTTCTAATTACTCTCTCACTCTTTCTCTTTCTCTTGCTCTCTCACTATCTGCCTCTATTTCTGTCCCTTCTTCTATCATTCTCTGCCTTTGTCTGTCCCTCTCTCTGTGCCTCTGTGTATCAGCGTCTCTCTCTCCCTCTCTCTCTCTCTCTCTCTCTCAAGGTCTGTCTTACTCTCTGTCTGCTTCTATCTATTAGTCTCCCTGTTTGTCTCTCCCCTTCTATGGCTGCGTCTGTCTCACTCTGTGTGTGTGTCACTCTTTCTCTCTGTCTCTTTCTCTCTTTCTGAGTCTATTTCTGTATCTGTCTCTCTTTCTCTCACTGTCTCAATCTCTCTGTGCTTCTATTTCTATACTGATTTCCATCTTTTCCCATATCTGTCTTTGTCTCTCTCCTTCACTGTCTCAAATTCTATCTCTTTCTCTTGACATTTTCTTTTTCTCTTCTTCCTTCTCGTCATTTCCTTATATGTTGCAGTCTTAAATCTTTGAATGCCATCAAGGGTTGAATAATAGCATTTTTCTACAAAGAATTTCGCATAAAAAATCTGCTTGCATTTTCTTCCTCTTCGTGAAAGTGGGCTTAAGATGTGTGTACAATCCTAGTATTCTTTTTTTAATGCAAATTTATCAATCAACTTGGAGGCTGAATTGTGTCTTTGATAAACGTTGTTCTGAGAGAAAAAAAGAAGCATATTTCTGCTTAGATTTCAAAAAAGCTAATACAAATAAATTGTACAGGCAAGAAGAGAAAGAAATATGGCCAGCTTTCTTGCGATGAACGACTTATACATTGTCTTATTTTGAGTGTTTATATCAATTTGTTTCAGCATCTCGACAATTGTGTGGTTTTCTCAACGTTAATATATTCTTTTATTCCATAGATATTTCACCTGTGTTTTTGTAACATATTTACAGTTAATACTATGAATTCCTTACTTTGCATTAAGGTGGATATATTTTTTGCACTAATTGAATCTGTTTTTATTTCATAGTTCTAAAAAGTCTTATATCAAGATGAGATAAATTTTCAATTATACTGGTTGTAAACATTTTAGACATAGATAGATAGATAGATAGAAAGAATTCGGTTCATACCTATCTATTTCTAGGAGTTAGTTTATATCGATCTATCACACTGCTTGCATCTGTCTATCTTTCCTAGCAGCAGACCGAGCAATTGATTCCTTGTAATCTTACCACATCATGTCAGAGGAACAACGTTAGCTGAAGACGTTACTTAATTATCTATCTATCTATCTATCTATCTATCTATCTATCTATCTGTCGATCTACTCCTCATTGTCTATTCCTATCTATAATTTTTTTTCTTCGAATTTCTAAGGTTAAAAATGATATGTCGACTATTTTAATAAAATCTTTCTATCAGTGTGTTCATTATCTACCTATATATATATATATATATATATATATATATATATATATATATATATATCCAGATAACTTGCTCGCTATCTGGAGATATGATATATAAATTTCAATTATCTATCTATCAATATATATATATGTGTGTGTATCTATCTATCTATCTATCTATCTATCTATCTATCTATGGGATGTTCCTTGTAGAGCTGGGTCCAAACTATGGTCCCGTGGCCCTATAGGAGAATTGTCATTTAACAGATTTTTATTTTAGAAAATGGGATGTTCCGAGTAGGGCGATCATCTGGAACACTGTTAGTAAAACTGCACATTCCTTTTCTCAGAAGGCCCAGAGCTCCAATTACTATTGGTACAGTCTCAGTCTTCATTCCCCACATCCTGTTCATCTCGATCTCCAGGTCCTTGTATTTAGACAATTTCTCGATAACTTTTATGGAGGTGTTTCCCTCAGACGATACTGCTATCTCAATAAGTATACACTTTTTGACTTTCTTGTCTTTTATGATCATATCAGGTCTGTTGGCTTTTATTTTCCTGTCAGTTTGAATTGGTACATCCCGAAGGATAGTTACATCGTTATTTTGGATAAATGTGTCTGGTTGGTGGTCATACCATCTCTCTGTGGTTTCGATTTTGTGCTTCTTGTATATCTTCCAGTGTACATATGTCGCTACCTTGTTATGTCTATGGGTATATTCATTTTTTTGCCAGTTCCGGGCATCCTGAGATAATATGGCCGACAGTTTCATCATATTTTCCGCAGATGCTGCATTTCGGGCTAATTCCATGCTTGATTATGTGACAGTGATAGGATCTGGTTGCGAGTCTTTGGTCCTGAGATACAATAATTAGGCCTTCTGTCTCAGTTAGTCAGCCCAGTCCTCTTCAACCACTGATGTGTTTTCTGTTGGTCCACATCTGCTTCTTTCGTTCTTTTTATGTATTTGGCAGGCAACGCTTTGTCCTTCCAGATTATTATTATTATTATTTTTATTTTCTTTGATTTCTGGCGTTTACACATTTTTTCCGTGTCCCGCCCAGGGACCTAAGATTAGAAATGGCATCATGACACTTTCCACTGACAAAAAAAAAAAAGAATTACATAGATAAAGCCCTTCGTAAAGTGTGTGCTGTACTTGTCAGAACAATTTTTTTGTATCTCCTTATTATTATTATTATTATTATTATTATTATTATTATTATTTTCAGTTAACGTTATTTTTCTTTCCGTGTGCTGCTCTCGTTCTTCTTTGAGTTCGTTTGATTTTTCGCGTTTTTCCTCTTCTTTTATTCCTGAAATTTTATGTCTCCTAATTTGTTCTCTTCTCTTAATCTTGCAAATTCGTCGTCAATTTCTATATTTTCTCTTTCTTTCCTTCATCTTTTAAAAATCTTCCTTCTTCTTTTGTTTCTCTTATTTTCTGTTTTCTTCTTGACATCTTTCTTTTAGTGTTGTTTCTTTTTTTTCTATTTTCTTGCCTTTTTATTCGTCTAGACAAATTTCTCTCCTTTTTCCATCTCTTTCTTTCTGTTTTGTTTTTTCTTTTTTCTTCTATTTCTTTTCCTTCTTCCTTTCCTCGTCTGCTTTTTTCTTTCTCTCTTTTCTTCGTTCATCTTTCTCCTTCACTTTTCCACTCAATTTTCTTTCTTTTTTTTTTCTCTCGTATGTTTCTTTTTATACTCTCCATTTTGCTTTTTCTCCTCTTCCTACTCATCGTCTTTTTTCCTTTCTTTTGCTTCTTCTGTTTTTTTTTTTTTTCTTCTTTTTTTGTTTCTTTCATTTTCTGCCTTTTTTTTCTTTATGACATTTCAAATTACTCTCTTTTCTTTTTTTTTTTTTTTTTTGGTGTTTTCTTTTATTCTTCTTCGTTTTTTTTGTTCTTTTTTGTTCTCTTTTTCTCCTTTTATTTCATTTTATTTCCCTCTTTTTTCATTGGTTTTATATTTTTGTTTCATGTTCTCAACCGATTTTATTTTTTTAATCTCTTCTTTTTTCTTGTTTTCAACCCGTTTTTCTTTCTTTTGCTTCTATTTTTATTTTAAACTACTTTCATTTATTATTATTTATTTTTTATTTACACCTTTTTAAGGAGGAGAAAAAAATTTTCTTTTTTTTTATTTTCCTGTTTTTTTATACTTCTTCCCTTTCTTCTTTTCATCATTGTCATTAAGCTTTCTTTTTTTTTCCTTTCATTCTTTTCTCCTTTTTTTCTCTCTTTCTTTTTTTTTTTTTCCATTTTCGTGCCATGAATTAATTTTATCATTTTCCCCATGTCTACCCATCAACTTGCGATCTCATTTCGTTTCCTGTTCTTACATTGGTTCAATTTTTTCTTCCGGTTCCTTTTTCTGTCCGCATGCGCTGTCTTGTCGCAAAAGTCTTTTTTTTTTATTCATTTTATTTATTTATATTTTCCTTTCATTTTCCCCTTTTAATACCTGCAATGACGTTCTAATCCGTTTCCCTAAGGCAAAGTAAAAGTAGCTGCAGAGCGCTGTAAAGAAATCGCCCGAAGGAGAGGATGTGGCGGGAGATTTTCCTGCCAGTTACCAACGAAGACGACGGCACCATTTTCTTTTTTTATTTCTAAATTATTTCATTGTCTTTGTTGTTTCACTCACATTCGTAAATGCTAGCTTCGAAATTCCAAGTGTCATGTTCTGGTCTAATCAATGTTGTTTTGGCTCAGAAGGACACAAGCCTATTTTTGATTACTGTCTTCTCCAACTGTTTTTAAGCTTTTTAAGTTTGACCTCTACACTTCTTGCAAATGTTTTTGCAAAATCTACTCTGGGATTGTATGTAAATGCATGAAAAATAATGCATCTACACGCCTCTGTCTTCGTGTTGTTTTTGCTTGCGATGGAATGTCACTGTCTTTGGTTTTGCTTATAAAAAATTAGTTTTTCTTGGATAAACGTAGACGTGGGGAAATGTGAATGCCTTCAAGTTGAATACCAATAACTTTCCAAATAAGAATGTTACTGAGTTAATTTTTCTTGTTTTTTTTTTATTATTAAATAGTCATGAACTAGAAGGCGCCAATTGGAACACCATCTCACAAACTTTTGCTCCACCTGTTATCCTTTCTTCTTGCTTTGTGTGTAGTTCAGTTTTCTGTCTGTCGTTTAACCACCAGAATATTAAATGTCTTTGTGCAGTGATCTCTTTATCTTTGTTTTCTGATCATGGCACCTCTTTCTACATTCTAGCATTTTACATTTGACCTCTGTTGTTTCGAATCCTGTTGAGCTCTTTCTATATTATAGAATTATATTTTCGCATTAGTCTTTACATTGATCATTCTGCGTTTCTAATTCGGTTCTCAAGAAACTTTGTTAACCCAAACAGGCATCTCTTTCTTTCTCTCTCTACATAAATACATATATATATATATATATATATATATATATATATATATATATATATATATATAAATGTAACAAAAAATTGTCCAAATCGTGTAACAGCAAAATTGTCCAATTGTTAGATTAAGCTCTGAGCCGTTGTATCGTCCACTTCCACCCTTAGACGTCCGGTGTCTTTTCAAACCAAGCAGACATTGGTGCAGCTTGGTTGGAATGTCTTACTAAACCCACTATAATCACCTGATCTTGCATTTTCGAATTAGCATTTATTTCAACACCCATCAACATTCTATTAATGTGAAGAAATTCAGTTATCTAGAACTCTCTAAAACCATTTCATCAGCCAGAAAGATGTCATGTCCTGGAAGAAAGGATTTAGGAACCTGTCTCAAACATGACAAAAGGTAGTAGAATTAAATGATAAATACGTATTTGAATAAATCTATGCCCAAATATTTCAATATTTCCTTGATAAAGTCAAAACACTGTGATGGGCTTTTGTTCCGACCTAATACATATAGTCTACTAGCAGCATGTCCCTGCGTTGCCCGTGCTTGATTCAAAATCGTACGACTCATACAGCAATCGCTATCACTTGGCTTAAAATATTTTTGCCCTTCCTTGCCTTTAAAGGAGTGCCCTTGCCGTGCTGATGTTACATGCCTTACTTTGCCTATCTCACACTGCGAATTTTTTCTAAGCTCTATACTAAACATTAAATCTGTTACGAAAAAAAGAACTAAAGAAAATGAACACAAAACGATCAGCTTTAAAATAGGACTCGTAACTGGAAAACCGAAGGAAAAGAATGTTAACAACAAATACTTTTTCACACCCAACCCAGTTCTGCGGAATCAGAATCAACGTTGTGTTTAAGCACGAATGAGCCAATTGGAGTAAAGTGCCATGCAGATTTAAATTTTTCCCGACTTGTGACGAATGCAGCTATTGATTTTTTTTTTTTTTTTGCATGCTAGCATGCTAGTTAACATACGTGTCATTCAGCTGTTGGCTCTCACGCTGGCCAATAGAATCTTCCTGTCTATTCATGGGAGCCAGCTATAAGCTCTCACTCTGACCAGTAGAAAATGGCCGCAAACTACATGAAATGTGCCGTAGAAGCATGAAAAAAATCGGTTATTTCCACTATCGATGGGAGTTGGGAAATACAAAGTCGGTCTTGGCCTTCCCGGTAACTTGGAGCATGTGCATGTAAATTTTGGTCCAAATCCATCGAAAATTGCTGTCGTACATTCGTTACACACACACACATCCTGCTTTTTATAGATAGAGATTATTTTAATTTATTTTGTCACGTGGCCTTATTTTGCTTTCTGGTCTTGAGAATTGGGTTCGAATCTCACCATGGTCGATTTGTCAGCTTCTTGATAATATCGGCACTTTCAGAAAGTGCCTAAAAAATACTGCCGAAAACCATACTGTGAGTGAATCTGCGTAGACGGAACCGTTGTCATTGTGAATCAGCGTTGAGCGTGCTGGCCTTGATCAAGAAATTGATCACGCCCGATTATGCGCTCTCTCGCATAAACTGGAACTATGTTGCATTTTAAAGCATGAAGCTGCATCAAAGACGACGTATGTGGTATAAACCACAGGTGGATGCCTGCAGTGATTTTCCAAGCGTGGCTTAGATGTGGCACAAAGCCGAAAGTAGGTGGGGGATACAAAGTGAGGATCGAACTCACTATTCAGTCGTAAATATTCTAGCAAGACAAGCTTGCTAACCATTACACCGCCTCGAGGTGCCCCAGGCGGATGTCTGTAATACAGGTTAGCTAGCCGCTCAGGAAGATGAATAAGATTAAAAACGAGTAGTGTATTGGGATGGCCAAGGACACATTCGGAAAGCTGGGTAGAGTATTGCGAAACAGGAGGATTTCTTTGGTAACAAAGAAAATAGTACTGAGCTGTGACATCTATGCTCCTTTACGGCAGCGAATGTCGGATGATCTCCTCAAAGATGAAGAAGAGACTTGAGGCGACGGAGATATAGTTCTACAGAAGGATGCTGAGGATATTATGGAGTGAGCGTGTGGCCAACGATGGGGTCTTGGATAAGGTGCAAACAAGGATTATACTTAACACCAGGAAGAAGCAGCTGAAGTTTCTGGGACGCATAATGAGAAAGAAGGGTCTTGTGATGTCAACGAATACTCGTTGTCACTTTTGTAATAATCGTTGTAGTAGAGACCTTGTAATCGCAGTTACAACTACAGTAACGCTGTTGAACAATACTAGTGTCAGACGCTTTCGAATATCACTCGAACTAATAGTAGTTGCCCGATAATACTCGCTCGACAAGTAATCCGTATAGTGATCTGAATAGAGAAATACTATAATGGACAGAGTAGAGAATAGCTGTCCGTGTAGTAATAGAGGATAGAGTAGAAATTGAGATCCGAATAGTATAGAACATAGCGATCAGTTAGACGGTACGCGACTTCCTACTTATGCGTTTTCTCCATGGTTATGTGAGCTACTTCAATAATGGGATCGTCTGTGTTTGATCACTGACGATCTATGTTCAAACTCAAGTGTCGGGAGCGACTCTTAATTCTTATATAACTATTTTTGATTTTTTTTTATAGGACCCAGTTCTGTCCTTCTATTTCAGCCATAACTGCGGGAAGAGATGAATCCATGCCTTTTTCAGATGAATAGGCACGAAAGTGAATGCAATGAACTCGAAGAGAATTACGAACTCTTACTCTCTGATTCCTCAATCCAAGCCGCTCACCATTACTCTACTCCACTAGTAGTATCCGGACATTTATTATTAGTTTATTTTATTTGTGTCTATTATAATCTTTTACCAGATTGTTTCTATTGAGACCTCAAGTAAATAAAATATTTTTTTACTTCTTAGGAATTGTTGAAAGAGTGTTTCCAAGCAAGATTTTTTTTCTTAAGTGCACTCTACATATTAACACATACATTTTATTTCCCATAAAACCGTACTTCCTGGGATTTTTCTTAATATATGTTTTGCTTTTAAATCCTTCTCAGTACTCCTCCTCCTCCTACTACTACTACTACTACTAATACTACTACTACTACTACTACTACTACTGTTTCGTGTTTAAATGTCGCATTCTTGTAACTTTCTATTTCCGAATCCTTATTTTGCGGGAGATTATCAAATCCTTTCGCTGAGATGGTATTGCTTACGTCTATTAGACAGTATTTAGAATCTTTGATGTCTTTTCTAAAACTATCTGGTCCATTAACTTGCATTGTGCAGTCGGTTTGTACGCTAAAAGTCACAGAGAACAGTAACGCAATCACCTTTTAGCAGGGTTCTTGCTAATACATTAATGTATGATGGATGCAGATCTTCCATTGAAACTGTTGCCTCTCTACTATTCCAACCACTACTATCTATATCTATCTCTATATATATATATATATATATATATACTAGTAGCATGAACCGGTGTTGCCCGTGCTTGATTCAAAAATCGTACGACTCATACAGCAATAACTGTCACTTGACTTGAAATAGTCTTGCCCTTCCTTGCCTTTAAAGGAGTGCCCTTTGCCGTGCTGATGTTGCTACATGCCTTACTTCTTGCCTATCTCACACTGCGAATTTTTTCTAAGCTCTATACTAAACATTAAATATGTTACGAAAAACGAACTAAACAAAATGAACACAAAACGATCAGCTTTAAAAAAGGACTCGTAACGAATGAAAAAAGAATGTTAATAACAAATAGTTTTTCACACCCAAGCCAGTTCTGCGGAATCAGAATCAACGTTGAGTTTAAGCAAGCGAATGAGCCAATTGGAGTAAAGTGCCATGCAGATTTAAATTTTTCCCACTTGTGACGAATGCAGCTATCGATTCTTTTGCATGCTAGCATGCTAGTTAACATTCGTGTCAGTCAGCTGTTGGCTCTCACGCTGGCCAGTACAAAATGGCCGCAAACTACATGAAAAGTGCTGTAGAAGCATGAAAAAATCGATTATTTCCACTATCGATGGGAGTTGAGAAATGCAAAGTCAGTCTTGGCCTTCCCGCTAACTTGGAGCATGTGCATGTAAATTTGGGTTTAAATCCGTCGAAAATTGCGGCCGTGCATTCGTTACACACACATACCGCCTTATATATATATATATATATATATATATATATATATATATATATATATATATATATTACTAATTAAAGATTATCAAAAACTTAAAATCCCATTGGTTTTTTAGGGTTTGATATTCTTTAATTAATAATAGTTTCGCTTTGTCTTTTGACATAGAGCTCTCCCTGGATCTATACCCTCCTGAAAATTACATATGGATTACATATTGTATTATTTATATATATATATATATATATATATATATATATATATATATATATATATATGTGTGTGTGTGTGTGTGTGTGTGTGTGTGTGTGTGTGTGTGACGTCTGTGTGCGCGCGCGTGTGTATGCACTCTTATGCCTAAAAAATTTTGAAAAGTCAGTCACATTTTTGTTCTTGTATATTAATACTTCTCAGATAGATAGATAGATAGATAGATAGATAGATAGATAGAGAAATTGATAGCAAAAAGACAATGATTAATCCTTCGTTACATATTTTATCCAGTTTCTTTGCTCCAATTATTATTATTATTATTATTATTATTATTATTATTCAAGTCACCGGTCATGACATAAGATGATATACCGATAATGTATGCTTTTCATCAGCAGGTTTACAATACTTTTCGTAGTATGTTCGCTGTTCTGAACAAGCAATTTTTGAACTTTATTTCCAAATCCCAATCTATTTGTGATAAATTTCTGTGACGTTCCACTTAGAACTGCGTCTCTGTTGCGGGATATGTATATAGCCTCTGCCATGGTTTCTGCTCTCATATTTAAACTGGATGCCTACAAAGCATTTCAGCATGATGGTATCCCTCAACAGAAGTGCTCCTGAACTCGCTCATGTTCTCTCTAAACTCGACAATAAATGCCTTGCTGCTTCTTGCTTCCCTGCTTGTTGGAAAACCTTTTCTGCAGCTCCAGTCTTTAAGAACTTAGGTAAACCGTCTGATTCTTCTATCAGCCTATTAGTCTTCCATCTCTTTTTAGCAATATACTAGAGGCCCTAATCAACTAACTTATTAAGCATCTCGCATCGCAGGGCCGTCTTTCAGACAAGCAATATGGCTGTCGCTTCTGTAGGTCAACTGCTTATGTGCTAACATCTTGAAGGCGTTTGTCAGGGTTTGACATGCTTGTTGTCTTCGCAAATTGAATTGGCATCTCTGGACGAATTTTGAACTAATTCAATCTTTCTTATCAAATCCCAACATGAAAATTGTCCTGAACGGCCACTCTTCTAGATATTTTTGCATAAATGCAGGTGCCACCCAACGCTTTACCCTTGAACATACGTTGTTCCCTATTTTCATCAATGACCTTCCTGATGACACCAGTTCTTAGCTTGGCATCTATGCTGATGTTTTAACTATTTACTCCCGTCTTAATAGCAGGTCTGATTGGTTCGATTAAGTCAAATTGGCAACTGATCTTTAAAATGACCTACAATCTTCTATAAACAGGGGAAAGGAATGACTTGTTAATATTAACGCGTCCAAAACGAAACTAGATCTCTCATACGATTAATAATGGTATAAGAGATCCTTATTTGCTTTCCATCAGCATGTCGAATGTTAACCTCCAGGCGACTGACTCATTGTACCTTCTCGGGCTAAAAGTGGAAAATTTATATTGAATCAATTGCTAGGTCTGGTGGTAGGTCTGATGCTAGTTGTTTACTGGAAAATTGTTCACTCTATCTTGCTACAATATATATATATATATATATATATATATATATATATATATATATATATATATATATATTTAGAGATACTTGATAAAATCAAAAGAAGTTCCTGCAATGTTATAGATCCTAACCTGGCAGCTCGGCTTCAGTTATTTTTCCTAACGCTGCAATGTAGCTTCCCTATGCCTTTTATTCAAATGCATTCATGGTAGCTCTTCTGATAATCCTTCCTCTATGGTACCTAGATATTATGAATTTAAGCACGCTACTAGATTGGCGGTAAGGTCTCATCGTTTTCCAGTTGAAATGGCTAGATGCAACCGCATGTTCTATGCTAACATTTTCTTCGATCGCACTTCTCACCTGTGGAATTCTCGTCCTGATTCTTGCTTCTCAGGAAAATTTGATCCTCAAAAATGTAAATGCAATGCCAACTGTATTCTTCTGATTTCTCATCCTTTTTTTGTTCTCTCTCCTTAATAGTAGTTTTTCTCATATTCACTAACACTCAGTAAACTCCTCCGCCATATTGGCTTTATTGCCTATCTTTGGGTGAAATGATTATGTGTGTGTGTTTGTATTTTATATATATATATATATATATATATATATATATATATATATATATATATATATATATATTATACAATAGGAATTAAGCTTACATTGAGTCGAAGATCATTATCACCTTGTAAACTGAAATAAAATTTACAATCTAATGGATGATAAATAATAAAAAATCAATTCTTTATCATCCATTAACTGGTTTGAAAAATCCTTGTAAACCCAATATGAACCCAATGTAATTTTAATTCTTATTGTATAAAATATGTTGCTCTGTGTAAATAAAATCCTTGAGCTCTGTGTGCGAATCTGATTTAATATTTAATATTTTATATTGTATTAATAGGATTCACTTGGATTATATACCAACGGATTACATTTGCTCTCCTTCGCTACAGGATTGAGCAAAGAGGTTTTCTCTTAGCCCCTAAGTGGAGACTTCCGTAATATCCCCGGCTGTATCGGTGATACACGCGCGGAAAAGAGCAATATGATAGATGCAGGCATATATAAACACGCACCATAGTGGTAAGAGCGTGTTTCGTACATCTCACTACGAGGATGTAGAAACCACGATCGAATGGGGACACCGGCCAGCACACACACACGTTCACGCCCATTCGCTTACAGTAATTAACGAAGTCCAAAGTGAAATAAAATTTAATCTTTGGTATGAAAAACTCATTAAACTGTTTTCTTCTGTAATATTCAACGATGGTTCATTATATCTATCTGTAGATATTCGTGTCTGTTGCACGTCTTTGTCCATTTTTTTTGCGTGTGTCTTCGTCGTACATATCCTCCTATATTCAAACGTATTCCAAGGAAAACATTGAACTTTTTCCCCATACTTTTATAGCCATAGAGTTTCAATGCAAAAGCGTATATAGTCGATTTTTTTCATCCATCGATATGGTAGAAATTGTTTTTGGTTTGGCATCAGATTTAGGAATCAGGACATATCTGTAGGCTGAATTCTTTGATTTTTGATTTTGATCAAAATAAAATAGGAACGCGTAGGGTAGAAAAAAAATAAAATAGATCGCGTAGGAAGATATAAAAAAGAATAGATAGATGGACAGACTCAGATGAGATATAAACAGACCGAGAATAGATAGATATGGACAGACTCGGATGAGATAGATAGATAGATAGATAGATAGATAGATAGATAGATAGATAGATATGAACAGATTGGGATGAGATAGATAGATAGATAGATAGATAGATAGATAGATAGATAGATAGATAGAGAGAGAGAGATGAGATAGATAGATATGAACAGACTAAGATGAGATAGATAGATAGATAGATAGATAGATAGATAGATAGATAGATGGAGATAGATAGATATGAACAGACTGGATGGAAGATGAGATAGATAGATAGATAGATAGATAGATATGAGACAGATTGGGATAGATAGATAGATAGATAGATAGATGATGATAGATAGATGGATGATAGATATGAACAGATTGGGATGAGATAGATAGATAGATAGATAGATAGATAGATAGATAGATAGATAGATATGAACAGATTGGGATGAGATAGATAGATAGATAGATAGATAGATAGATAGATAGATAGATAGATAGATATGAACAGACTGAGATGAGATAGATAGATAGATAGATAGATAGATAGATAGATGATGGATGGATAGAATGGATGTGAACAGACTGAGATGAGATAGATAGATAGATAGATAGATAGATAGATAGATAGATAGATATGAACAGACTGAGATGAGATGATAGATAGATAGATAGATAGATAGAATAGATGGATGGGGATGAGATAGATGAACAGATAGATGATAGATGATAGATAGATAGATAGATAGATGGATGAGATAGATATGAACAGATAGATGGATGGATGGAGATAGATAGATAGATGGATGATGGATGATGGATGGATATTGGGATTAGATAGATAGATAGATAGATAGATAGATAGATAGATATGAACAGATTGGGATTAGATAGATAGATAGATAGATAGATAGATAGATATGAACAGATTGGGATTGGATGGAGATAGATAGATAGATAGATGATAGAACAGACTGGGGATGGATGGGATGAGATAGATAGATAGATAGATAGATGAGATAGATAGATAGATAGATAGATAGATGGATGGATGAGATAGATAGATAGATAGATAGATGGATGGAGATAGATAGATTGGGATAGATAGATAGATAGATAGATAGATGAACAGATGACAGAGATGAGATATGGATAGATATGATAGATATGGATAGATAGATGGATAGATAGATAGATAGATATGAACAGACTGAGATAGATAGATAGATAGATAGATAGATAGATAGATGAACAGATGAGATAGATGGATAGATGGACGGATGGGGATAGATAGATAGATGGATAGATAGATAGATGAGATAGATATGAGATGAGATGAGATAGATAGATAGATAGATAGATAGATAGATAGATAGATAGATAGATGAACTGATCCAGATAAGTTTGAACAGACTGGATGTGATAGATGAATAGATAGAATGATATGATTTTTAAAAAATTAAACGCTACATTAATCGTTACCTTCTGTCTTCTTAATTCCTGCTCTTTTATTGTTCTTTCTCCTTAATATTGTTTATCTTTTTTCTTATATTATTTCACGCTCAGTAATTCCTTGTGTCTTAGTGGCTTTATTGCCTTTCTTGTGATGAAATGGTTAAAAAAAGTATTTTCTATGTGTCCTACGACTCCCAGTTCTTCCATCTTTGTTACGCTCTCTTCAGAGCGTTTCAATAATGATAGCTACAAAGGTCATCTTTAAGTTCAATAATTACTATTATCATTGGACAACTGGCATTAACATTCTAAATAGTCCAATTGTTTTTGTTTTTGGGGGATTTTTTTAGTCTCTTTCCAGATTTAAAGTGTGATAAATGCGGGCAAATAATAATAAGTTATGACATATTTCCAAATTTGAAATGTTTCAAGACGAAAATATCTACAAGCTTATTTTTGCCAAACAAGCGAGTAGTGAAATGAAAAGCGACCGAAAATCGTACACAAAAAATGTAACAATGGAGATGAAAAAATGTAGCTTTTGAATTTACTTAGCCGATTCTACAGTGAGTGCTTTTGTTTTATAGTTTATTTGGGGTTTTCTTCTTTTTTTTATTTAAAGAAAAGTAAAAGAAATCATATCGAGATTCAAATATTGGAAATTTTGTCTCAATGAGTGAAGTGTCGGCTTTTCAGCTCAAGAATTGAAGTTTTACTCGTTTTTGTTTGTTTGTTTTTTCTTTTTTTATGAATTAACAGAATGTATTGGTAGCATTATGGATACTGCCACCGAGTGTGTAATCGGGGAGACGCGTTTAAATTTCGCCCAAGCCAATACAGTTCACTTCACTCTACGCATTTTTTTTTTTCATTATCAGCTGAGCCGGGTGAGAGTAAGTAAATTCTCAACTTTGAGCTGTATTTCATCGTTAAAAAATAACCATAATATGAGTTATAATTTTCATTCTTTTTCCGCAGGTTGCGTTAAAATAACTGAACCTCTCTTCAAGATTTAAATATGCTTAATTTTTTAACAAATCCGAGTCTATAAGTTTATAAGTTTCATGGTATAATAATAATAATAATAATAATAATAATAATAATCGGGATCAAAACCCACAAGAACAGAATGAGCTTACTGACTGATATGGCAGTACCTGCAGATTGTAAGGATGATTTTCAAAGAACTAACAAAATGCAAGTAACATGAAGTGGAAATCTCAAAAAAAAATGTAGTATTTGAAGTTGGAACCCTCGGATTGATTAAAAAAAGGTTCCGATATACTCATTGAAGGGATTCCGGGTAGCCCATGACTTAAAGAAATTAAAAACAAATTGCACTCACAAGTGCAACTCACATATTACGAAGAACTTTATCTATGTAAAATATATGTGAACTTAGATTTTCTTTCTTTTTTTTTTCTTTTTTTTTTTTTTGCTAAAATGATCAGTAGAAAATGTCATGAAGTCATTTCTGACCTTAAATCTCTGGTTGGGACTCGGAATGAAATGTGTATACAACAGAAATCAAATGAAATAATAATAATAATAATAATAATAATAATAATAATAATACACCGACAGAACAATCAAAGCTAATCGCCCAGACATCGGGATTAGAGACTGCAAAGACAAAAAGTGCCTCCTTATTGATATGGTAATTCCTGAAGACTGTAATGTATCTCTAAAGATCTTCAAAAAATTATCAAAATACCAGGACCTTGAAATTGAAATCTCAAACATGTGCCACATAAGAGCATAAAAAACTCTCGGACTGATAGGAAAAAATTTCGTTAGAGTCAATGAAGAGATTCCTGGTAGTCCATACCTTCAAGAAATACAAAACATTGAACTCACAAGTACAGGTCACACATTACGAAGAGCTTTATATATGTAAAATATGTGTGATCTTTTTTTTTTACAAAAATGATCAGTGGAAGATGTCATGAAGACATTTCTGACCTTAGGTCTCTGGTTGGGACCCAGAAGGAAATGTGTATAGTAGTGAAATCCAAGGAAATAATAATAATAATAATAATAATAATAAAGTGAAATACCCTTGGAAATGGCATAAATTCTTCTTCCACATCCTCACTTTTGGTTAAACAGTAGGGTAGACTGTACTCTCTTGCCTTGGTTTGTAGCCAGTTTAGAAGGGAAATACAACTCTAAATAGGTTAGGTGTACAAAAGCCATGAAATGTGAGATGAGTATTTCTTGGAACGAAATTTAGTATAGCCTTTCAATGGAAATTATTCACTTTCAGCCGTCCGGGACTCGACTCTGCTGTTTGAACCTGTACTGAATTTCACGGAATCCCCTAAAAAGCAATCCGCTCATGCAAAAACCAATTCCCTGAAATCATCATCATCTTCATCTTCATGGTTGATGATGACGATGTTGATAATGATAATCATCATCATTTTTTTTTTTTTCAGGAAACGATTTTTTGTAGATCATCGTTCAAGCAATATCAAGTGTTCTTTATCATTAAGTATATTTGCAAATTGAATAATTAACTTAAAAAAATTATCCTTCTGACTTAACGATTTCATTTTTGTAACGGCTGTCCGCACTTACGACCAGCTATAAAATCGTTAAAAAATAAAACACATTAAAAAAACGAAAAAAACAATCCGTATTGTACACTGTACCAAAAAATTATCGTGATTATTTCTCTCTTCAAAATGAATCAAAATTAAATTAACAAATATACTGAAAAAAAAAGATTTACCCGTACAGTATTTACACCATAGCAACCAAATACAGTACAGATTATCGAGTTGATTTTTTGATTTTACATTTTATGTTTACTATTCAGTACTGTATAAATATTTGGAAATTGTACAAATGGTAGCACCCTAGAGACATTACTTCTCTGGTTAAGGAATCGGAGAGTCGAGTCCGAATTTCAGTCGTGTTCATTACATTCAAATGTGCTAATACCTTTCAACTGATTCAGTCTTTCTTATCAAATCGCGAAATGAAAGTTGTCCTGAATGGCCAATCTTAAAAAAGCTATGAATCCAAATCTTTTCGCTCCGGCTTTGGGCAAATAACAATTATAAGATTGGGTTCTATAGGTTAGGGTGTCAACCGGTCTAGCAGAATTGACTGAATGATCTCGACCACGGATGAAGAATGGTGTAAAAGTCAACTATCAGAAGATGGTTGATATAGACACATTCTTCTTTGTGTGTCGTTCCCAATCAGGACGTAGGCCATCATAGTTCTCCACAATTCCCGGTCTTTGTGACGCTTAATAATATTTTTTTCACATAAACACCGTTCCGCCATCAAGTTCTCTAAGTATGTTTCCCCTTCTTTTCCTCTCTCACTATCGCCCACTATCTGAGATTTTTCAAGCCCTGCTTCCTCATTTATGGGTCACATAAATTTCAGCTGTCTCTTCCGTATGTTTCCATTTTCTCTAAAACGTCGACGTTGCTCACATGTTCGGTCCATGATATCCTTAGAATCCTTCTGAAGAAACATATTTTTGTTGCATCGATTCTCTTTATGTTTGAAGAGGCTGTCCAGCATTCACTGCCATATAGGAGGGCAGGCATTATAGGAGGGCATGCATTACGTAACAATTCAGTCCTCCTTTCTTTGTTTCCAATGAAGTTTTTTATTCGCTTAATACTCTACTTGGCTTTTAGAAAGTATCTTTGTCTATGCAAATACGTTTTCGGATTTCAGTGTCGCACTTTCCGTACTATAACTGAAATACTGGTTAAAGTCTCGTTTAGCGACCATTACAATCAACAACTAGGTTGTTGAGTAAGGAGTTACTGTATACAATTTTTGTCCGGTGAGTATCAGGCTGTTTTGAGTATCTTGCGAACCGTTGTAGTAATCTAGATTACCAGACGCAGTAACATTTGCCTTTTTACCATCCCCACTAAACATTTTTGTCATCAATTCACACAAACTATGTCGACCGGTGCCTATCCATGTGTCTTTTACTTTTGATATGTCCGATGAGCCTCAAATTTTCTTAGCGTACCTTCTTCATTAGATCAATAGAAATTCTGTGTCTAATTCTGTGTTTAAGTGTTCTTTTTGTTAGAATTTTCTCTAAGACTTCCTCGTTGCTTATTCGCTCTATCCATGGCATTCTCAACATCCTCCTGCAGAATCAACTCTGTCCATGGTATTCTCAACATCCTCCTGCAGAATCAACTTTGTCCATGGTATTCTCAAGATCCTCCTGCAGAATCAACTCCGTCCATGGCATTCTCAACATCCTCCTGCAGAATCAACTCCGTCCATGGCATTCTCAACATCCTCCTGCAGAATCAATTCCGTCCATGACATTCTTAGCATCCTCCTGCTGAATCAACTCCGCCCAAGGTATTCTCAGCATTCTCCTGCAGAATCAAATACGTCCATGGTATTCTCAGCATCCTCCTGCAGAATCAACTCCGTCCATGGAATTCTTAGCATCCTTTTGCAGAATCAACTCCGTCCATGGTATTCTCAGCATCCTCCTGCAGAATCAACTCCGTCCATGGTAATGTAAATCGTTCTGTATAACCACAAATTTTACCTAGGTGTAGTTTAACCAAAGACAGGACTGGATGTAGCTGGAGCTAGCCTATTGCATAAGTCCGAGTATAAAAACTCCTAGTGTAAACTATATCCAACGAATAAATATTATATAAACTTGTTGATATTAATATCAACAAGTTTTTTTTTCTTAACGAGAATATTGTGCAAAGGCTTCAGTCTATAAACAGGTAATAATGAGTGATAGGAACTTATTCAAAAGTAATCAGGTAACCAGGCTTTTTTTTTCATTTCACCCCAAGCATGGCAATAAATTCTATAAGTCACAAGACGTAACTGAGTGTGAAAGAATAAGAAAAAAAAAACACTAAGGAACGGGAACAATAAAACAAGAATAATCAAGACGACAGAAGACTGACAGT